ACACTCCCTCGGTGCCGCACAGCCAGGGGGCCCGGGCCTCGCACAGCTCCGGGTGTGCTCTGTGGTTGACAACACTCTTTCTTGGGTCTCCATGGAGGCACACTGCTGGGTGTCCGGGATAACTCGAGGTGCAGGTTGTTGCCTGTCACACCCAGCACCCACCCTCCTGCTTTCCAGTTGCCTTTTTGGCCGCGGGATCTTCCCTATGTCCGCTCACGCCCAGAGCTGCAGCCCCTACCACGCCTGGTGACAGGGTGTGTGGGTGCCCTAGCGGACATGATGCAGGGGGCGGGGGGCCCCGGATCCAGTCCAACTTCTCCCCATTTTTGTGCTTGACCCACTGCAGCCTCTGCCCTTGGGCTCCTGGTACCTTGGGGCCTGGGGCAGGGTCTGTCCCAGGGGTTCAGGCTGAAGCTGCTCCATCCCATCACCCCTCTGTGTGTGTGACACTCACCTGATGCCCAGGGCCCAGAAGGTGTGGTTCCCCCGGGGACAGCCCCAGGTCTTGGGGAGAAGAAGGGGTTATTGCTAACCACACCGCCCCCAGCTGCCCCTCCTCTCCTGCCTCTGCACCTGCCCCGACCTCTGAGAAGACACCACTGCCCACCACATCCACCGCCAACCACATCCACCGCCAACCACATCCACCGCCGACCACATCCTCCTGCGGTGGCTGCGGTCGGAAATCCGGGTCTAGCTGGACCCTGGGGACCCCTGAGGGGTGACTGGGACTCCCCAGCTGGTACAGCTGCAGCTCTGGCCCCTCCAAATCTTCTCCCCACCCCCCACCCTCCCAGTCTCAGGCGTACCATGTGCTGAAGGCAAGATTCAGATGGGGCCAGAGGAGTACGGGCCCCTCTGTCCGGCTCCTCCGAGCCCCCACTTGGGGTTCCCGGGTCCTCTGCATCCCGCCCTGGCCCTTCTTTCCTGGAGTGGGGGGGTGTGACCCTGCCCAGCCACTTCTGCCCCTCTCCCCGAGTCAGAGGGTGCCCCGGGCCCCCTGCTGGACAGTCTCCAGCTCACTCTCTACCCCACGGGCCTGGGGCACCCTGCTGGAGGCCATGGACTCCTCTCTTCCTGGCCCGGGTCTCCCCGGCTCTCTGCTCCCCTCCATTCCCCAGCTCAGGCCACTGCCCCTTCTCATCTCCTCTTGAGCATTTCACTGTCATTCCCGCAAGGAGGGCAGGGGAGAGGGAGGGAAGTCCGAGGCGGGGGTGACGAACAATCCATCTAGGAGTATGACAAAGGTCCTGGATTTTCAGAGTTCTCAGCATCAGGGTCTGGCTCTGCAGCTCCTGGGCCCCCTCGGAGGGGTCCCCAGGTGCCCTGTAGACCCTGGCTGTTCTGGAGATCCTGCGAGTGCAGCGCCTCCAGCAAGTGGGGAGAGGATATTGCCGCTTCTCTAGACAGCACAGACTCACCAGTGGAACGGGGCTCTTCTGGCTCCTACTGATGAGAAGAAACAGGCACAGAGAGGGAGACTTCCCTTCCTAGGATGGACAGCAACTTGGTGTGAAGACCATGTCCTGGGACTTGCCAGGACCAGTGAGGCGTGGGAGGACCAGCCTTTTTGGAAATGGGTGGGGCCAGCCTGGAACTGGGGACTTTGGAAAATTTCAGTGCTTTTACCTTTAACTCCCCTAGTCCAGCTACCGGGAGTGCAGCTGGGAGGAGGGATTCCAGTAGGAGGCAGCAGAGACCAGCAGTAGAGGGAGGCAAAGCCCTAGAAGGGGGTGGAGCTCTGCACGGGAGGCCGGCAGCAGGCCAGGTGGGGGCTCCACTGCAGGGGCCAGCGGGAGATGCAGGGCCTGGACTCTGGTTCTGCATCTTCCAGGGCATCACTTCTCCCCTGGAACCTGGACCAGGTCTGGGGGGGAGGCAAGGGAGGCAAGTCGTGCCTGTGTAGGGTGGGATCTTGACTTGACTTAACAGTTTGATGTTTTATTCATCATGGATTATTTTTGTTATTAGTTTCAATTTCAAAAAATATTGCATTAAATACTAATTATCTTGTTTAGTGAGTTTTTGGGCATGCCCATAAATTGGGCATGCAAGAAAAATGTCTTACTTGCCTCAAGCTTCACTCTTGTCTTGGCTGCGCCTGGAACTTGGGGAGACCTGTTACTTCCGGTGCAAGGGTCGGGGGCGGGGATGGGTCCTGCTGGAATGGGTATAGTCAGCGTTCTGCGGTTCCTGTATAGCGGAACCTTGTTTTCCAGTTCCTTTCCAAAGTCTTGATTGACACCGGGGCGTGGCGGGGGGGGGGGCGCGGTGTACACTCCCAGCAGGAGGGGGCTGCAAGCAGGTGGTGGCTTTGTAGCAGCCACGGCTCCTCCCTCTAATCAGCCGGGTCACATTCATCCTGCGCACCAGGTGGTCCAGTCTCCCTTATTCATTCATAGGAAGCACTTCATCCTGCTGGCTACTCAGACTAATCTGATTCTTATTCCATTATTTCTAAAAGCCAGCACATCCTCACATTTATTTATAATTCTACATGGCATACATTACTATTACACTGTATGTTGTAAATTAACTAATGACAAAAAGCCTACTGATTTACCTTGTTTTTAAAGAGTGAATATGAAATGAAAAAATGGTCACAAAGGGCATCTTATTTTAATGTTGAACTCACCAGACACATCCTTTAATTTTCAGTGATTTTTATGATATTCCTCAAAATACCCCCCAAAAGTCAGACAGTTTCTTACAGAAGTACATCTGAACAGTATGTGTGACAGTGTAGGCTGGTTTTGCCAATTAGAATAAGACCACAGGCAGGGACAGAGTTTGTTCCCAAGTGGCCCTATGAGCTCATGTTCAGAAGGACTCACTGTACCAAGTGGTAGGACGAAGGAGGGGACTCCCTTCTTCAGCCTTGAACTAGAAGGTGTCCCATGTCAGGAAGCCTGACAACACAGCAGGGGACAGGAGGAGAGGGGGCCAGCCCAGGGCGGGCTGTGTTCACTCCCGTCACTAACACACTGTGGCAAAGAGCCCCATGCCCACCCTGCGTGGGAACCCCAATAAGTGCCAGCCCCCCTGGTGCGCGGAGCCCAGAGGGAGGCTCAGAGGAGCTGTATGGTCACCTGGGTCCCTGAGGTTTGATTCTTGACCTTCCCCTCATCCATGTTACGCTGTGATCAGGGGCTGTTGGTTTCAAGAGACACGATAATAACGTCCATGTCACAGCTGCTCCTGCACAGAATATGGTCACCTTCTCTCCAGGGGCCCACATGTCTGGGAGGAGGGGAACGTCAGGACAGAGTGATGCCCACCCTGTCGGTGGGGACAGAAGGGGCAGATGAGGGCAGGGTCAAGCCCACAGGGATCTGGGTGGGAGGGAGCGCAGGGCCCCTGTGCTACATGGGTGGTGCCTTCCTGTGGTGACTGTCACCTGAGCCTTGAGAGGCAGGTGGACAGGAGTGGACACTCTCCCAGTGTGGTCCTCAGAGGGGACCGTCCGACAGGCAGATTCCCGGGCCCACCCTGACCGGCTGCGCCCCCACCTGCGCCTCAGGCGACCCAGGGGACGTGCGTGCTATGGTCCGAGTCACCCTGGAAACTCTCACTTCCTCCTGCTGTGTCCCCAGGTCCTTCCTAGGCCCCGGGGTCATGGTGCAGGACTGTCCTGCCCTTGTCAGATGAGCTTCCTTGGGCTGCGGCACCGTGCAGCGACGTGGGGAGAAGTGTCTTACAAACGGGCGTTTCTCCTGCCTCTTTGGGGCGTTTCGGAGAAAAGGTGAGATTCCTTTCCAGTTTTTGTCTTCATTATTTTCTCTTTTCTTTTGAGTAGATTCTGGTGCTATGACAGCAAGTGCTGGAGTCTTTTCTTTGGTAGCATCTCATCAGTTGTCATCCCATTCCCGTGTGTTTTGAATTCCAGATATTATGACTTTTACATCGAAACGTTCAACTTGGGTTTCTGGCCTCTGTGTCCCCCGCCCCATGTCAATCATTCATCCACCCTTACGGGGGAGGGAATCCAGGTACAGTCGTATTTTTTGTATCCTAGTCCACAAATGATATTTTCTGGGCAATTTCAGGGCCCTTTTGGATAAAATGGTTTTCATATTCACAATAGATCATGTTTCCCTGATAGTTTGCAGGACAGTTTTGACAGGACATCAGGCAACGTGACTGTTTCCTTGGAACACTTATGCTTCTCACTGTGGCAGAAATTCTCAGTTTGGGATTCCGTAAATTACCTGGACACAGGTCTGTCCTCTCTCCACCTGCTTTCACTTACACCCTCTCAGATGCCACTGGCGCAGATGTTATTTGGGGCCTAGTTTCCCACCACAGGACACAGATCTTCTCTCTAGTCAACCTGATGCCTGATTGGGGAGCTTCCCCCCGACTGGGCACAAGCAGCATATGATGAGGAGCTGACTCTGGGACTGTCCCCCACTCTGGTGACCTTGGGTGGTTTCCTCCTCAGCCTCAGGTGGTTCCCTCCCAGGTGCGCTCACCAGCCTCGTGGGAACGTTGCAGACGCCAGGGCGTCCTGGCTGTGCAGCCGCCTCCTCTCCTACCCGCCCCCCTCCTCCGGGGCTGCTCTTTTCTCTCTGGGGCCCTGGAAACGCCCCCTGACAGGGAACCTCCCTTGGGAGGGGTCAGGGGGTCTCTCTGGAGGGAAGCTCAGAGGCAAGGCCTGGGAACGGCAGAGTGGTGACAGCGGAGGGCTCGGCTGCAGGGGCTGGGTCCTTCTGGACTGAGGCCGGGCCTTGGGTCTTAGACAGGGCTGACAGCGCAGCATGGACACCAGCCTGGCCTGGTCCCCCCGGCCCTGAATCCACCGCTGCCCCACCGACTGCACAGCTGCCCGAGGCTGGGGGAGGGGCCGCCTGGACCTGGGACACGGGACCTGGCCCAGAGCTGGGCATGGCTTTGTCTGCAGTCCCTGTGCGGCCTGAGGAGAGCGTGACCCAGATGGAGGTTTGTGTCTCACTTCCCCGTCTGCCTGTGTCACTGTGAGCATTAGTACTGCTGTCCCACACCTGACAGTAATAGTCCGCCTCGTCCTGGGCCTGGGCCCCACTGATGGTCAGCGTGGCCGTGTTTCCAAGTTGGAGCCTGAGAATTGCTCAGGGATCCCTGAGGGCCGGATCCTATCACTATGGATGAGCAGCACCGGGGCCTGGTTGGGCTTCTGCTGGTACCAGTTCACAACTTTACCTCCAATGTTGTCTCCCCCACAGGTGATTCTGGCCGTCTGTCCTGGCTGCACTGATACCACAGACGGCTGCGTCACCTCATAGGAGGACACAGAGCCTGTGAGAGAGGAAAGGAGAGGGGTTTAAGGATGAAGGACCCCTTCCTGGGAGAACAGACCCTGCCTGCTCTTCCTGGAGAGATCTACAGGGATTCCCTGGCCATGTGTTGAAGTTCCAGTGGCCCAGGGGACTGGCTGATCCATGAAGCCTCCAAAGAACTGAGGACCCCTCCTGTCCCTTTCTCCTGGCCGTGCAGCCCCTCAGCTCACACAGAGCCCGTGAGCGCGGGGAAGGTTCAGCTCCAACAGCCCCTCAGGCAGCAGCAGGGCCATGAGCACCCTGTCCCCACAGGCAGTGCGCTGCTCAGGCAGAGTCAGGTCAGGCTTGTCCGGATCCCCGGGCTGGGGTGGGTGGGAGCCTGGGCGCAGCACCTGCGCAGTGAGCGAGGAGGCCGAGCAGGAGAGGCGTCCAGGCCATGGTGGGGTTCCCGCTTCTGCACCCTGAGCCCGAGCTGGGCAGGGCTCCTCCAGGACCTCTCTTATCCCCTTGCTGGGGAGGCAGCTGCTGGGTATGCAAATCAGCCGGGGGTCAGGGGCTGCCTGAGGAGCTTGTGGTCCTGAGACTGGCTCAGCACTAGGGACACAGGGCAGGGAGGGGTGGTCCCCGCAGACAACACCCACAGCCCAAAGGGCTTGTTCCTCCTCTGGTGCCATGGTGGGCAGCTGACATCTCCACCCCGACTGTCCCATGACCTCACTCCTGGTTGGCCAGACCACAGCAGAGCTCAGAGGTGATGTCTGTCCCCATGTTCTGAAGCCATTATAGAGCCTTGACTCTACAGATGACAATATGAGCCTGAAGTCTGAGCAGGGTCCCATCCTGGTCACCATTTGTGAGCACAGAGCCTGAGTGAAATCCCCACCTTGTTCAGGGCACAGGGCGTTTGAGGAGCCCCTGAGATGCTGTTAGGCTCTGGACTTGGTTACAGCTCCTGGGACACGTCACAGACGCTGTGTCCCAGTGTCCCCAGTGTGCGCTAGTGCCAGGGACAGCGCCAGTGCTTGAAAAGGGTTGACAGGTCCAGAGTTGTAGCACGAATGGCGTGGGCTGGTCAGGGTGAGTTACCTACACCTGTGACAGAAAAACCGGCCAATTCTACAGGAACTAAATCTGAGTGACTCAGAGTCAGAATGATACATCATATTCAAAGGTGATGCTGCAGAAAACTTACAACTCTTTCTACAGGTGTGAGGTGGTGGTTAATCTCCTATTTGGCACAATTTAATTATTTTAATTATTAATAATGGTATAGATGGCTCAAAAAATAAAATACAATAATCCCCCTGCCTGTTAGAATTCCTCATGCCCAGGCCCCCCAGTCTCCAGGAGGCTTTGCCAGGTGGTCTCTGCTGCCCCCCGGTGGCCCCTCCTCACTGGCTGCTGGTGGACCAGGTGAGTCCTCTCTCCAGGTACAGAGTCTGAACTTACTGCTCAGGTGGTAACTGCCTGATCCAAGGGCTGCTCGTCCCAGGGGAGGAATTGCTGTTCTCTGCACAACCACTGCCTGTCACACGACCAGACACAGGAGACTCAGATCACCCATAAAATATGAACAGGTTCATAGGGAGGATGAAGGGTTGGGGCCCACCTGAAGAGCCACTGGACACATCTCTAGGGTGCGGTGTTCTGGCGAGTGGTCTGGGGACAGGGCGCTCAGGGACTGCCTCTCACTGATGCTGGCCACTGGCATGGGGTCAAAGTAGGGAGGTGGTGGCAGCTGCTCAAAGACTGAGACAAGGGACACTCTCCCAGCAATGGCCACTTTGTCTGGCAGACATCCCATCCGGGGCCATACGTGTGAACAGGACTCAGTCCCTGTCCCACAGATTCCGTTGTGCACATAGGATCTCGCAGTGGACACTATGGTTTGGGTGACAAAGCAGAGAGTCACCACCACATTTACCTGTGTGTTGTCTTCCATCCTCATGGAAAAGCCAGGCGATTGCTCTTCTTGGGCCCCTCTTCATCTGTATTGACCTTGTGGCTCAGTGTTGGCCCATTGGTATGTTAACTCGCTGATGTTTTTCCTAAGAATTTTAGCTCTTGTGAAGAAAATAGACTAGATTTATATAGTTACAGCCCTTTTTTCTGGACCCCGGGGTGAGACAGCTGGAGCTACAGCAGCCATCCTGAGTCCTGTCTGCAACAAGGATGAAAGCAGAGCCTCTAAAGCTGCGCTGGTGGAACAGAAAGTGAGAAACTTTTATGACCTCACAGCACTGGGGAGTATCTGGGGAACAGCCATCGGGCTCCAGACGTGTTGTTGCAGGAGAGAAATCGGCTCGTCTGTCCATGTCTCTTATTGTCACGTGTATGTTTTGCATTTAAAAAAAAACATTCCTGACAAATGAGGGAAATAACATAAATCAGTCACTGAATCAATCAATCAATTATGCACTCAATAAAATTAACTATAGAGAACAATTGCTCAACTGTTGGTGTTTTGAGATAATTAGTTGAGAGCAGACAAGAATTGACAGGCGGGCCCTGTGTGGGGAGAGGCTGGTGGGGTGTCTCTCAGGGCGACCCTGGAGCTGCCGTCCGGACGGGAAGAGGAACCAGGAGGAAGCAGTGAGTGTGGGAACAGCAGGGTCAGTGCTCTGTGGAAGGGTCTGGTCTGCCTGAGGATGAAGGACGGTGAGAAACTAAGGTGTTTATGATACAAAACCAGGCCAGTCCCCTGTGACGTGATCTACAACATTAAGGGATGCAGTGCAGGATTGGACACCACGCGGAGCACACACACCTGACCCAGGAGTCAGAGCAACTGGAGGAGGGTCCAATGGAAGGAGGAGCCACTGCCATGTGACCACTGTCCTCTGTCAGCAAGGAGAGCGAGCAGGAGAGGCACAAGGACTGCTCTGACGACACCACTCCTGCTGCTGAAGTTATGAACTTGTGAGAAAATACCATATTGGACATGAACTAGCTTTGAATGAAACACCTCAATGGATCATGGCATGTTGTTCTTCCTCTCAAACATTTGAGGTAACATTGCCATATCGTTGCTTAAAACATACATCATAAACCACAACATACCTTGTTAATTGCGTTTTTGCCTTAAGCAGTGATACCTTTTATAGAATTTAATATGACAAAAATTTTCCCTATGCCTTTCATTTCTTTGCATAGTTTCCCATTTCTCTCTGTGTCTGAGGCGTGTCCTCTGTTCTTTCTGGTACTGAGGGTCTGCAGGTGATCAGTTCTCTAAGTTTTTGTACATCTGAGAAAGTTTTCCTTCACCTTCTTTTTGAAAGATATTTTCACTGGGTAAAGGCTTGACAGTGGAGAGGTTTTTGTTGAAGTTTTGTTTTTGCTTTTGGTTTTTTCAAGACTTTGCTCCACTCCCCCCTCGTCTGTGCTGCTCCCAGGGAGACACCTGCCCCCATCCCTCTACTCCGTCCTCTCTGTGGACAGGCCTCGTATCTCGGAGGCTTTTATGATTTTCTCTTCAACACTGATTTTTTGGAATTTCTTTGTGATGTCTGTTGATGTTTCTTGTAAGTTTTATTTTTGTGCTTGTGGTTTCTTGAGGTTCTTGAATCTATGGGATCTTTGTTTTCATTGAAACTAGAATAGTTTTGGTCAGTATTTCCTCAAATATTTTTCTTTCTTCCCCGAAGACTTTTCTGCTTCTAAGAGTGACTGTATGACTATACTAGGGTCCCCCACGTTGTCCTCCAGCAAACTGACGCTTCTGTTTATTTATTTTTTTAGTTTTTTTGTGTCTGTGGGTTCATCTCTTCTCTATAGTTTCTCTTCTATGCCATCTAGTCACTAATCTTTGCTTTGCGGGGAGGGACACGCTGTCAGTCACATCAAGGGTCATTTTATCTCGGACACGGTAGTTTCCGTATCTACATACTGACCTGGCTGTGTACGTCAGTCCTTCTAGACTGCAGTTATCCTGTTCCAGCGTTCTTCTGTGCACTGTAACACATGGGATGAGAATGATTAAAATCCTTGCCTACAAATTCAATCATCTGTGAAATTTCATGGCCAGTACGATCGGTTGATTTTGCTGCCTGTTATGGCTTGTATTTTCTTGATTCCAGTCAAGAATATTTGATACAACAGGCTCAGGGTATATTTCCTTGTTGGTGAGGAATACTTACGTCCTCTGGATATATTTTGTCTGCTCTTCTATGTTATTCTAGATTGATTAGAGTTTGTGCCAGCGGTTTGATCCTCTGTCAGCTGGGTAGCTACAGTCTTAGGTGGGGCCACAGCAGCGTGGAGCCTGGTGCTAATTTCCCGCCACCGAGCCCCCGCCCTTCTGACAGGTCCCTCTGACGTGCTGACTGGGAACTTCTCTTCTACCGCCGCCAGACCAGTGCAACTTCTGACTGTGTGTGTGAGCTTGTGGCCTCCCCCGCCTTCTCTCCGTGGTTCTCTTTGGCCTCAGGCGGTTTGCTCACGCAGCCTGGCGATGAGAGCTCCTGGACTCTGGCAGTTAGTTCCCTGGAAACCCTCAGGGCAATGGCGACCCGCATGCAGTGGGGTTTGGGGTAATCTTTCTGGAGGTGAATGTGAGAGGCAAGAGTAGGTGACCTGTAATGTGGTGGCAATTGCGGACTCAGCGGGGACGCCCTGCAAGGTCATCCTGACCGTGAACCACACTCTGCGAGGGGCAATAATTGGGGTTTTATGAGTTCCAATAGATGGGTCATTTGGGGACAAATCCAGGACAGGTGACCAAGGAGGGGCCCCGTCACCATCACAATGATAATTAGGGTCTATTTCCACTGGATGTGTGTCTGGGTCTGGGTGTCCTTCCACTCATGCCCTCTGTCTCCAACTCCCACGCAGGCCAGGAAACACCAGGTGGGTCCTGTCCTAGGAGACTGAATCCACTGCTGTCCCAGCCCCTGCGGAGCCGCTTGGATGGGAGGGGCAGACTGAGGATCTGAGGTCTGGGGACCGGGGCCAGACCTGCCCCTGGCTTCGTCTCCAGCCCTATTTGGGCTGCAGGAGAGCATGACACAGAGGGGGTCGGGGTTTCTGTCTCACTTCCCCGTCTGCCTGTGTCACTGTGAGCACTATCATTGCTCTCAGATGACTGACAGTAATAGTCGGCTTCGTCCTCAGCCTGGGCCCCGCTGATGGTCAGAGTGACAGTCTTCCCTGAGCTGGAGCCGGAGAATCGCTCAGGGATCCCCGAGGGCCGCTCGCTATCCTTATAAATGACCAGCACAGGGACCTGGCCGGGCTTCTGCTGGTACCAGTGAGTATATCTTTTATCGACTAAATCTCCAGTGCAGGTGATCCTGGCCGTCTCTCCCGAGGCCACCGACAAGGAAGATGACTGGGTCAGCTCGTAGGAGGCCACGGAGCCTGTAAGAGAGGAGGGTAGAGGGGGCTGAGGATAAAGGCCGTGCCTAGGAGGGTCCACGTGGAGGCTGTGCCTGGGCTGAGCTCAGGGTTTGCAGGTCTGACTCAGGGTCCCGTGGGGACTAAGCCCGCAGGCAGGGCCCGTGGGGGCGCACCTGAGCCAAGAGTGAGGAGGGGGAGCAGGAGAGCGGTCCAGGCCATGGCGGAGGCGCCGGGTTCTGCCTCTGTGCCCACAGCGGCAGTGGGTCTCTGGGCCTCCCTTATGCTCTGCAGGGGCTCCTCATGCAAATCTCCCTCCTCCCTCCTTGGCAGCTCTCGGGGCTGCAGCTGGGTGAGTCCGGCGGGACGCAGGGAGGGGCTCCATTCACGCCCTCGCCGCAGGCCTGCACCCCGTCTCCCCAGGGCTCTCTGGGTAGGGGGGGCGCCTGTGCGCCCCGAAACAGCACCTGCACACCCGCCCCTGTGTGATCCCCGGGCCGCCGCCCTGGGCTCGGGCCCCCTCTCAGTCACCCTTCTACGGATGGGACCTTCCAGGAGGCGGGCAGCTGTAGGGACCAGGGTCACGCTGGTGTGTGACAGGCCGCCCTCCGGGGTCAGACACTGGGAGACACGGGTCAGACGCTTCCCAGGGAAGTGTTTCCCTTATGTTTTGGGGAAAAAAACACGACTTTCTTTTGGCACCCATGGTTTGTAAAATATCTTGGTGAGCCCAGACGCATGATTCATTGAAGGAAAGATTAGTGGGGCCACACTGGACGACACCACAGCTGTCCCTGTGCTTTGCGATACTGTCGGAAGGGGGTGAAAAGGGCAAGACGCTGGAGAAAATATTTGCAAACTAAGGATCACATGAAAAGTATCTCTTAGGGTATAGAAGGAACTCGTAAAACTAAGGAATAAAAAGATAGCAAAACCAGCAGAAGACATGCAGAAAACGGTCAACGGCCCAGGACAGACAGGTCCTGGAAGCGCCAGCGCCGTGGCCTCGAGAGTATAGAAGGTGCCCCCGATGAGCCGTCAGGGAGATGCAAGTTAAAACAACGAGGACATCCCCACGCACCTGTCAGAGCGGCTAACGTGGAAGATGTGACCGGCCCCAGGACGGCCGGACCTGGGTAGACAGGGTCACCGGCGCCCGGTTGAGCGGGATGTGAAGTGGAGCCGACACTGTGGAAGGACTTTGGCGGCTTCTTAAAGCAGTAAACCAGAGGTCACCGTACGACCCAGCGACGACATGTTAGGGCTTTTATTTCAGACCATGGCAACTGATGTTCACCAAGAAACTGTCCGCACATGTATGTTCCTGGCTGCCTTGTGCGTCGGTCCCCGAGGTGAGAACCATCGCGGGGTCTCTGTGTGGGTGGTGGTTAAACAGGCCGGGATCCACCGGACCGCAGAATTCTACTCGGCCAGGAAAAGGAAGAAGCTCAATGCAAAGGCAATTTGGAGGAATCTACAGGCAGGATGTGAAGTAAAATATGTGAGTCCGAAAAGACTTCCTATATAAGATGTGATTTTTCATTTCGATCGATATTTTCTGCAAAAAAAAAAAAATTTAGAAATAAAGATCTAATGGGTGGTGCCGGGTTAGGCGCAGGGAGGGGCCCGTGGGCGGGGGCAGGTGGTGGTTACTGTCATCCAAGGACAACAGGAGGGACCCTCGTGGTGACGGATGTGTTCTCTACCTTGATCGCTGGGATGGATACGTGAGCGCACGCGTGGGACACAGTTACATCACTGTAAGTACCCACACAGCTTAGGATGAGGAAACAGTTAAGGGAAGGGTCAATGAAGAGGCACAGAGAGCATGAGGTACAGAAGCTGACCACTTAAATACAACAGTTAAAAATCCAGGCACATTCAGATGCAGGGTGTGGGTTACTGTCAGGCACGTTACTGACACCACAGGCCCAGGGTGGACCTTGACGCAGTGGGGTCCACACGAGGGTTGGGGTTCCATTGTGCGCGGCCCTCCTGACGCCGTGTCCTGCCGTTGAGTGGTGGAGGGGACTCCCAGGAGAGGGTCCGCAGAGCCTTGCTGGGGACAAAGTCACCGCAACCTTTGTAAAAAACAGCCCTTGACTAGAGAGCAGAGGACGGAGATGGCTCTGTGCCCTTGTGACCCTTTAGCTGACCAAGGTCACTGCAGGACTGAGCCTGAGTCCATGTGCTTCTGCTCATTCTGCCCCGGGCCCACTCTGTCCCCTGAGACCAGCCACCCATGTCCCCTCCTGCCTCCTTGGGGTCACACAGGCCACGGGCAGCTCCTGGACTTTCATCTGAGAAGCCGTCACCGGGGACCAGCCCTGAAGGCGCTCCCAGGCCAGCTCACATGGGTGTCCCGCATCAGTGTTCCCGTGGACGATGGGCGGCCCCCTGGAGGCCCCACCGTGGCTGTGTGAGAAATTGGGGCGCTTCCGTTTCCAGGGAAGCTCTGGACGAGATGAACCCGTCCCGTACACTTGCCTCCCTGGGAAAGTTTTGGACATGGTGCAAACGCAGTGCTGAGACTAGGGGGATCAACGGTTTTCATTTCAGTGTCCCCCGTCCACCCAACTCTGAGGCTGTCCCTGTGGACGTGCCCTGCACTGTGCCCTGTGAAGTCCGAGGACAGGTGTGGAGCCTTTCTTGGCACCACAGGCGGAGGGTCTGGTGCAGCTGCAGGGCCTGGCCGTCCTGCACACGTGTCACGCCCGAGAGCTCCGCACACGTACACGCTCCTCTCCAGACCCGGTTCTGCTCTCACCACGGGGTCAGGTCTCTCTGTCCTGCCTCTGTTGAGGGACACGTGCTTCCTGCCACATCTCAGTCCTGACAGGACCCCTGTCATAAACCTTGTTGCACTCAGAGCTAAGACATTCACTGCTGTGACTTCCATGGTCCAACTGAAACCCCAATACCCATGCCCTTCCCTAATCAGACCCCACTTGGAGCACTGGACCCGATGGCAACTGGGGACAAAGTCATCTCATCCAAATCTCTCCCTCAGGGTGTTTCCCTTTCGGGCTGGGCAGGTCCTTCCTCCCCACAGGCCTGTGGCTGAGGAAACACAAAGACTGCCGTGCTGTGAAAATGACCTAAATTTTGAGCTGCATCTGCCTCTCCTTAGAGGTGTCACCTGGGGGAGGTGCAGGATGATGGGACTGTCCACCACAAGAGTGAGGGTCTCAGGGTCCTGGGGAGGGGGCAGAGGCACGGCCTGCTGACCCTGTGAGGAGCTGGAGAGAGGGGGAGGGAGGTTTTGGCCACACTTCCCCTTAGTCTGTATGGCTGTGGCTTAACTGATTCGGCCACCATTGTTATGCAATGCACCACAGGTATACTCAGCCTCGTCCTCAGGCTGGAGGTTGGAGATGGTTAAGGAGCGGCCAGACCCAGAGCCCGTGCCCGAGAAGCGGTCGGGGATTCCTTCCCCGTTCCTGTCGATTCCGCCACTGGTAACGTACAACAAATGCCGAGGGGCCTTCCCTGGCTGCTGCTGAAACCAGTAAACGATGGAGTCGCTGTGCTCACCGCTCAGGGTGCAGGTGAGTGTGGCCGAGGCTCCCAGAGAGGCAGAAGCAGACAGAGGCTGGGTCAGCACAGGCTCAGCACAGAGACCTGCAAACACAAAACACGGGGATGATGCCGATGCACCCAGACAGGATGGATGCCCCTCGGGACTGTGCTTGGAGGAAAACTTCAGGGAGAGGGGCCCCTGAGTGGCCAGGGATGGTCTGACCTGTGGAGAAAACCAGGGGCAGGAGGTAGAAGGGAGCCCAGTCCATGGCGGCAGTGGCTTCCCGGAGCTCTGCCCTGAGGTTGCCCAGCTGGCCCTGGCCTCTCCAAGCTCCTGTCTTATCCTCTCTTCTTGCAGCTCAAGAGGGAAGAGCATGAATGCAAATCTGTTTTGTGCCTCAAGTTGTCTGCGTCAGCTCTGGTCTGAGCCTGCGCCTGCGCCTAAAGCCTCTTGCTGGTAATTTCCTGAGGTCAAATGATGGCCCAGCTGTGGGTTTCAGAGTGGAGAGCTGACTTTACCCAACACAAGCGTCTTCAAAGCATGCATATTAAACATACCCTGTGCACTGAACACAGCCCAGGGGAAATGAGACCCATCAGTCCTGAAGGCAAGTTCCACAGCGCCCTCTACTGTCCTCACGGTGAACGTCACCCTGCAATGTTGACCTTGTTCAGCAGAAGGACTTTGAGCCCTCAAGAAAAATGGACTCTGAGTGTTTTACCTGCACCCCCACCTGACATCAGCCCAGCCCCTCCTCCTGTCTGACGAGCACGGGGCTCTCATTGCGAGGTTAGTAATTTTCCCAGAGCCGCCCTGGCGGTGATGATGAGTCAAGAGTCCAACCTGGGAGACGGACCTCAGGGCCTGACTGTTGAATCCCCTCCCTGCCCGGCCCCTCTCCCTGGCCCCTGATCTCCTCCTCCTCCCCTGTCCCAGGCCCCAGGCTTCCCGAGGCCCTGAGCCACAGCCCCCCTTCCGTGTGCAGGTGCTGCAGCAATCAGGTCGTCACCACGGTGGACTCTGCACGTCTCTTGAAATTAGAGGCTGTGTCAGCACAGAGATGGGGACAGGGAAATAGTCACCTGTTTTCAAAACCTTGGTGTGAGAGAAAAGTAAAACATATTCATATTTTATATATAATTTATATTGAAATGATAATATTTTCAACTAAGTTACTTAAAATCTATTTTGAAAACTAATTCCATTTGTCTCTTCAGATTTTTAAATGTGGCTCCTGGAAAACTACACAGTACTTATGAGATTCAAATTTTTATTTCTAACGGGTGGGAACGCACTTCCAAGTCACTGTATCAGTCACCTGCTTTTGAAATGGGAGAGAGAACTTCCTGTCACCTTGAGGAGGGGACACATCTCAGCTTTGAGAGCACAATGAGAGGCCAAGGACGGCGGTGAGACCAGGGCTTGGGGCCAGAAGCCCTCGGTGCTGCGCCCGCTTTCTAGTTGTGACCTCAGATGAGATCCTCATGACCCAAGGCCTCCAAATGGGGTTTTGATGACGATGTGTGACACAGAGCACCTGCGATTAAACAGTTCGATAAAATGACGTGCTGTGAATGATGCTGATGCAGATTAGGCACCAATAAATGTTTCATCCTCCTCATCAATACCTTCCTCCTAATCCTGATATGGAATGTAAGCAAAGGCCTCGAAATGGATGACGAAAGTGATGGAGAGGGAAAGGCTGGGGTTTGGAACATTCGACATTG